GCCAGCGCAGGGTGGGCCCGTGTGCTGCACGCCGCCCCGCGAAAGTCCGTGGGAGACGTGTCTCCCGCTTACGCGCCCCGTGTGAATGGTTTATTATCCGCCCCCCTCCCCACCACCACCCCGCTCTCCTCCGTCACCCTCTTTCTCCTCCTTCGCATATAAATCAGTTTCAGCTCCGGAATATGTCAGCCCAGGGGAAGTTACATGCGGTGGTTACTCATTTATCTGCCTATTGAAAACGGTCAAAGGGTTTTTTTTCTCCAGAAAGGAAAAGGGAAAAGGGTGGGGGCGTTGGGGGTGGGGGGCAAGGATTGCACCTCGGAGGGAAAAGTTGTTTCTGACTACGAGGCAGGCGCTGCTTTTTAAAACCAGATCCATCCACGTATTTCCAGTGGTGTTGCGGATTCCTTCTTTTTGTTTGTTTGACAGCGGGTGTCTCCACTGCGCATCGTGAGACCAACGGAGGCAGCAGATTAGATTAGCGTGGCCTTGCCAGTTGGGAGAGCCTCTTTGGGTGGGTGCCTGCTTTAATTGTCACCTATCTTGGTCTTGAGGTGCCTGGTTTGGCATCTGGAAAGAGGCAGTGATTATGATTATTATTATTTTTTTGTTTTTTTGCGGGAGGGTGGGTGGTGGTGGTGATGTCTGGCACAAGGAAAAGTGGGGATCGCGGCACCAGATGAGGGCGATGATGCTGTTCCGGGGCATCCTGGTGAATGAGCGGAGGACAGCAGCCTTACTTAAGCACCTTCCGCCCCTATTCCATTCCTTACTACTCACAGAAAGCCCCTAAGAAACCAGGGGAAGGTTTATTCTGTGGCATCCGTGTGTCGCCTGTGTGTGTGCGTGTCCGTGCATCTGCTTTTGTGTGTGTGTTATTTTATTGCATTGGAATAATGGGAAAGGATTGGCAACCTTAGGGATTAAAATGGATCTCTTAAGACATTTCATTTCCGTAATTTGCTCTAAATCCACAGATGCACACACATGTATTTCCACCTGCAGACTGTAGAGTTTGGACAGTTCTGGAAAACACAGGAGGCCTTCCTGGTTTGGAAGCTAGTGGGCAGTAATGAGTGAGGGGACCTGCCCTCAGATTGGAAGGGATGTTCAGTGCTGAACCCTTAAGACAGGAGCTTCCGAAGATTTCATTTGCCTGAAATTCAGAAGCCTCGCACACGTGGTGTTAAGTCCCATTTTGTAGCATGACTTTATTCCTCGTGCCCAGAAAATTATCCTTCAGATTTCTTAGACAATTTTATATGAGCAACTTTGGGAATTCCCCATGACTTAGACTAAAGGAACGATATCTCAGCCCTGCTACTTGAAGTTCATTAACATACTTAAGCCAACCTCACATAAATCTAAAAAAGAACAAGAAAAAGAAAAATGATTCAATGCAACAGAACCTGCTGTGCTCTGAGAAGGACTTTGGGAGTTTCTGATTCTGTTTAACCCTCTGTTTCTTTCTAACACGTTTATGGTGAAGGAAGTGTGGCTCTTAGGGAACATTTACAGTAAGGGAGTGCTTGGGCAGCCTTTTCCCCGGTCACAGTTTGCAGGTCTTCTGGTAGTTGGTGAGCCGCTCATGCTCATTCCTCCGAACTGATGTGACCCTCTGCAGCTTCCTTTCTCCTGGTACGTACCACCCCTTGCTCTTGGGATTAGCCTTGAAAGTGCTTGGAAGGCATGTTGACATGATTGTATCTCAATTCGTATTCTCTGGCAACACTTTTCATAGCAGGCCTGCTTTCAGCTACCAGAATTGTGCAGGCCAGGGCATTTGTTTCAGAATTCTACAGAGCAGCACAGAAGTGACATTCTAAAGCCATGATATGGAAGAGTGAGTGAGTTCCCTGGCCAAGGCGATAGGATGGCTCAACTTACACTAATATCTGTCAATCTTGTGTCTAAAATTTAAAATATTTTCACTTTACTGTGTTTATGAGAAAAAGGAGTGCATTTAACTTACTTCACTTCCTCTTTTTAAGAATGAGAAGTCTTTACATGTCAGTAACTACCTGGAAGATACTGACTTTTTCTATTTCTTTGTTACACAACTGCCATGTCAGCACTTCAGGAGTGCCCCTGTAACTTTACAAAACCAGGGGGAAAACCAACACAAATAAACATTATCACCCGATTTAATTCTGCCTCATATAGTAGCCCCATAGGGCAGACTAGAACTGCTCCGTAGGATTTCCAGGGCTATACATCTTTGTGAAGCAGATTGCCCATCTTTTTCCATAGTAACAGCTGATGGGTTAGAACGGTTAGCAGCTCGGTGCTGGGCCCACTGTGCCACAAGAGCTCTTTCTAACTTCACTAAGGAGAGGGAATGACCATCATCAGCCTCGGCTTGATTCCTATGAGGTGAATGAAGGCTACCTTTCTCTGAATTTTTACCTGTTATGACACCAGCCGTCCTCCCACTAGACTACATCTTTGTTGAGGTTGACACTTCCTTGTGATGGCCACATAGACTTAACAGACTGTATTGAGGATCATATATTGATTATGGAAGTAAAAGGGCAATTCAGCATCAGGAAGAACTTAGGATACAGTTCTTCAATCAGGATAGTTTTCTCAACAGTGCCCATAGGCAGACCTCTCTCTGAGCCCCTCGGCCTGACCTCGGCTTGAGCAAAGATTACAAAACTCTAGCTCCTCCGCTAAGTGCTCCATGAGCTTCCTAGACCAGTAAACCTTGGACAGCAAGCAGTGAGCTCTCTGGGTGGAGAAGCTGGTCGCTGCTGTGCTATCTCGTATCTTTTTCTAGTGTTGCAACACTTCATCTCTTGGATGCAGGAGGTTCTCAGCTCAGGGTTCCCGCCTGCAAAGCACTTGCTCTACCCCCATCTCCTCTTGGTGGTGCTGAGGCACGCCGTGCGTGCTTGCACTTCTCTCTCTCAGTGCCCTTTTAGGATGGCTCCTTGTAAGCGTTGCCAAGGGTAAACTGACCAGTCCTCGCCTTAGGGTTCCATGCACCTATTTGCATAATTCCATCCCCACAAAGGTGCCATGTGTTTTATTTGCATTATTTGAAAACTGTTCCGTCCCCATGATGGGCCACAGGTATCTCATTTGTATCATCTCACCCAGTCATTGGGTGGGAGTCATCAGGTCATGGGGGGGAAAATGGTTCATTGCGGTACACTTTGTAAGAAACTTCTCAAAGGCCAGTGTCTCCCCCCCGTTTACAGTTTTATTCTGAAATGTGTATGAATACCATAGCTCATAAGAACTGATATAGTTTCTTCTGGTGAGAAGGAGCCTTAGTGGTGCAATGGTGAAAGTGTTTGGCTACCAACCGAAAAGTCGGTGGTTTGAACCTTCTAGGGGCCCAGTGATGTGCTTT